GGCTGTAACTCAATTATCTACTAATTTTTTGCAACTTCTAATAATTGTTCATCTCTCAGCTCCTTGATAGATTTTCTTTTGCCTGTCTTTACTTTTAAGTATATGTGGAACATAAGAACTTAGGAGAACTATAAGTGAATTTCTGGAATATATCTTTCCTATATTTTGCTCTGCAAATTCACAGGCCATTGAACATTAGTGACTTGAATAACTTAGTGAGCTCTCCAGGCATTATTGCCCTTCCCTTCCTTTTCTGTGTTTTGCAGTAGCAATCTGGATTAAACTATTGGGCACATTTCATTTTGTTTTTCTCACAGGGATCACAGATCTGTGCTGACTGTTGTCAACCATCTGACAACTGTTATTTCATACATTGTGTATAGCTCTTGATGATGAAATGCTAGTCAAATACCAGTTTCTCTATCAAAGACATGTCCTCCTAGTGAAGATATTTACACTAGATACATAATACTGGATTAAAATGGTATTTTTCCTTCCAACAACATAAAAATTCTATTTTGTTGTCCTCTCATGTTCATTGGTTCTCATTGTTTCTGGTAAAGCATTAGTTAACAATCTCATCATTGTTCATTCTATATCCTTTTCTCTGGCTGTTTAAAGATATTCCCTTTAATTTTTCTTTTTAGTAGTTTCACATTGATGTGACTAGGCAAATTTTTGACCTTAATTATCTTATTTGAGGTCACAGTGTTGCTTACATTTTGGAATTGTTTCTTTAAAATCCAATTTGATTTTGCATTTCTTTGATGACTAGTGAGGCTGAGCATTTTTTCATGTATCTGTTGGCTCCTCATATGTCTTCTTTTGAGAAGTGTCTATTCATATCTTTTGCCCATTTTGTAATGGGGCTGTTTGTTTTTTTTTCTTTTCAGTACATTTGGGTTCCTTATAGATCCTAAATGTTAAACCTTTGTCAGATATAGTTGGCAAATATCTTTTTCCCAGTCTGTGGGCTGTCTCCCGCTCCCTCAGGGGTTTCCTTTGCTTTGCAGAAGCTTGTCAGTTTGATGAGGTCCCACTTGTCTATCTTATCTCTTATGGCCCATGCGTTTCGGGTTTTGCTCAGGAATTGGATGCCAGTTCCAACTTCCATAAGGGTGCGTCCTGCATTTTCTAAGGTTCTTATAATTTGAGGTTTTATGTTAAGTCTTTGGTCCATTTAGAGTTGGCTTTTGTGTATGGTGATAGGTAGGGTTCTTGTTTAATCTCCTGCATGTGGTCAGTCAGTTTTCCCAACATCATTTACTGAATATGTTCTCCTCTACCCAGTAGTTGATGGTGAAGGCTTTATCAAAGATGAGTTGGTTGTGAAATTGAGGTTTTGCATCTGAAATCTCTATCCCGTTCCACTGGTCTATAAACCACACTGAGATACCACCTAACTCCAGTCAGGATGGCTATCAACAATAACTCAAAAAACAACAGATGCTGCAGAGGATGTGGTGAAAAGGGAACACTTCTTTACTGTTGGTGGGAGTGTAAACTAGTGCAGCCTCTGTGGAAAACAGTGTGGCAAGTCCTAAAAAATCTAAAAGTCAACCTCCCATGTGACCCCACAATACCCCTACTGGGAATATACCCAGAGAAACTCAAATTACTCTATGAAAAAGATACCTGCACTTGCAAGTTTATTGCAGCATTATTTACAATAGCAAAAACATGGAACCAACCATGCTGCCCTCAAAAGAGGACTGGATTTTTTTAAATGTGGTTCTTATACACAATAGAATATTACGCAGCCATAAAGAAGGACAAAAATTATAAACTTCAAAGCAACTGGGTGGACTTAGAGGCTATAATACTGAGTGACTTATCACAGAAACAAAGAACCAAGTATCACATGTTCTCACTCATAAGCGGACCCTGAACAACTATTGTAATACTACAAAAAAGGGATTGGCAGTAGTGGGAAACTGCCAGGGGAGAGAGGGCACACCTCATCAACAAGGGTACCTGCATAATGAACCTAACCCTGAATTGTATCCCACATATTTAAAATAAAAAATACATTAAAAAATACAATACAATTTGATAAATTTTCAGGAATTGCATTTTCAAAAATTTTCTGCGGTACTCACTTCCTATTTTCCTCTAGGACACTAATTAGACATATTTTTGACCACTTAATATAATTAGTTCCTTGATTCTCTTTCTCATTTGGGAGGTGTTTAGTATTTTTGTGGGCTTGCTTGTTTTTTACAATTATGCTTAAGCTTGAATCATTCTTTTGGCTTCTCTCCAAGGCCTCTGGTACTTATTTTTAGAAGCATTTATTCCACTGTTAAACCTATCTAATGCCTTTTGCTTAACATTCTTATCGAGGGAGTACTTTATTTAATAATTTTTTAAAATTTTATTTTAAATATGTGGAGTACAATTCAGGATTAGGTATACAAGTGGTCATCACACAAGTAAAATTTGGTCCTCCCTTTGGTCTCTACTTTGCCTGGCTTGAGATCAGGTACCCATATTGACGTTGTGTACCCCCAACACCTGGCAGTATCTTGCTACTGCCAATCCCTTTCTTATAGTACAATGGTAAAGGTACGCTTGTGAATGAGAACGTGTGATACTCTGTTCTTTGTTTCTGTGATAGATCACTATGATAGACTCTAAATTCATCCAAGTTGCTGCAAAGTCCATATGTTTGTCCTTTTTTTTTTTTTTTTTTTTTTTT